AATTACTTTCTCTCTTCCTTCCTCCTCCTCTCTCCTCTCTCTCTCTCTCTCTCTCTCTCTCTCTCTCTCTTTCTAATTAGAAAGATTTTATGAAAATTTAAATTGAATTACAAATGCTTATGTTCTAATTGAATTAATCCTATCAAATTTAAAAAATTGTTAATGGTATCGAAAAATATTGCATAAATAATTGAATGATTTTGAATTATTTTATATTTTTCTACTTCATTTATATCAATAATAATCAACAGAGGTCGACACAGGTATACAAATTAAAACGGATAAGGTAAAAAAGCATAACAGTTAACTAATGATTTATTAATGACCTAATTATATATTTTAACAATATTTTTAATTATAGAGAACTTTCGTTTCTTATTATATTATAATTTATATTATAAATATATATTTATTGATGTTACCGATCGTTAATAACTTTCTCCATTACTTTTAAATCTTAAAATATAAAATATAAATACATGTAATATATAATATAAATATATAAAAAAAAAAACAAATTCTATAAATATTTTTTTTGAAAGTCTTAATTAAATAAGAATAATGAAAGATTTAATATATTATAAAATTAAAATAGAATTTTGCTATATATATTTTAAATTTTATAAATTTTATATAAATTTAACTTACATTATATTAATGCAAAAATTATTTTTTATTTAAATCTTAATTGAAATATATTCAATAAGTCATTTTAAATAAATAATATAATAGAGTTGAATAAATATGTGTGACTATGTATGAGTAAAGCTTTTCGTAGTAGTATCTACGCAAGAGTAATACAAGAATACAAGAGAATCAGTAACAGTTTCAACGACGCGTCTCGCTTGGGAATATCTTATCGTATGTTGCTCTTTAAAAGGGCAATGATACGATGAATACTATTAAGTGTTTTATATTCGTGTTCGCAATTATATGTAATTCATTTACTTTTGCATGTAAGTAAAACTTATTATTAATAATTTGAATTTTTTCCTCGGCAAAGAAAAAATTTTCATATGATGAATCAATGCAGCCAAGCCCATTTTACAATATGGCGCAGTAGAATTTATGACAGACTTGCTGATAATATATTTTAGCTTCTAATTCATCTGATATGTGAATCTATATGCAATTTAAAAATTAAAATTCTCTATAATTGAATTAGTGCATTATAATTACATATTAATTGCTTTATAATATTTAAATATATGTTATTAAATAAGCATGATACAATTATTAAAACATTCATTACATAAAATAAAATTCTTTAATTATATTATTAAATCGATAAATATCTTATGTAAAATAAAAGTATTGTATTAAATTTACAACAATGAAGAATTTTATTGATACTAATAGTGTGTATGTAAATTATATAATATTAATTTCATTTTAATTTTTTTTATTAGATGATGAATGTAATGAACCACTTTTGGACAGAGCTCACTTAACGGCTACTACTTCATTACCTAATAGAGGTCCAAAAAATGCCAGGCTCAATGGTAAAATTTCTTTTATTTTTTCATAGAATATATTGCACTTTTTTTTTTTAAATATTTATTCAATGTTTCTTATATTATTTTCTTATATAGATATATTTGATATATAGTAGTTTGTTGCTTGCTATTTTCATGTTATATTTTGAAGAAATATGTAATTAAGTATATATGTTATTAAGATTGCTTTTTTTTTTATTATATTTATAATTAAATTTAACAATACAAATAAAATATTATATATAAACATATATATATATATATATATATATATATATATATATATATATATAATTATTATATATATATAA